GGAGGGAGGGGGAAAGATGAGCTGACACCAGGGCTCAAGTGGAAAGTGGGTATCATAATAATGATGAAGTCAACATATGTACTAAAGTGCTGGACACAGATGACGTATGTACAGATTGTGATGAGTTGTATGAGCCCCTAATAAAATGATTATTAAAAAAAAAAAGGTGGTGCTTTGAGGGGAGAGAGGTCCTTGGTAGAGGTCAGCAATGAGAAAGTGGCTCTGGTGTCTAAAACACAATATTAACTGGCCATCCAATACTCAAAAGTCACCCTAGAGTCCATCCCATTGAGTAGAGATATTATCGGTGGGAGCCAACCAGAGTGAAGAGTCTTAACTGTTGACAGTGATGGTATATGAGGTTGCCGAGCCCAAATTCTTCTGGCCCTCAGAACAGTTCCTCTTTCAATTGTGGAACTTGTGGCATAAATGGGATAACTTTTTGAGATTCCTCTACCCTGGCCTTCTGGCTTCTAGTGCCCAGTTTTCCATATATGTGGCAGTTTTCATTGGGATTGCCCCAGGGTGCTCCCTTAAGTAAACCTTGAAACCACTGTCCTATAAGGCACCTATGAACTGTGTAGCCACTTAAATCAGACATAGAACATAAGGGAAACTGTCACAAAAACATGACTGATGACAGATCAATGCATCACAGTTGCAAGTGGGACCACGGAATTAGGAAAGAGACCATGACTGGGGCACATACATTCTTCCAGATAGAAAAACTTACAAGATTGGTTCAGGATGCTCTGACCAAGGCAGTGAAGACATGACTCATGACCATGCAGATCTTAATATACCGAACTCAATCAAAGACACTCCCAGTCAAGTTCTGAACAGCTAGACTACCCCTCTTGCCACTGGCTACAGGGGTGGTCCTACTCCACTGAATCTGTATGAAGACTCAATAATGCATTTAGGACTCTGGCTATAAATCATCACCTTCCACAAACCTAGTGCTCAGAATTTAAACTCTAATACATCGAGTAAAGATTCAGTCTCAGAAGCTAAAAGAGGAAGGTTCTATCAAGTCCTGTAGGGTCACAATACAACTCAATCTATGAACATTTTGGGACAGCCCTCTTATTCCCCAAACTGCCCAGGCATGTGCAGAGAGAACAGGGGCCTCTCAAAAAGGATGTTAGACACAATTGATGACACACCCTTCAACCCCTGGAGAGAGTGTGGCCATCACACCTCTGAGCACATGCAGATGCCCCTGAGACGGTGAAGAGACTGAAGAAGCACATTTCTAGGTGGACTGAGGACAAGAGGACCATACAGCAAGATATTGGCCACTAAACACAGCAAGCTACTCCCTGCCTCACTTAGACTGGTGCCAGAAGGTAGCACATGGTTCTGTGCACCAGAAAGAAGCCAAATGTGTGGACATCTCATGTGACGTCTTCACACACTTCCTGCCTTTTCCTCCCGGAAGACTGATTCTTCAGGGGATCAATGGATGGCTGGGTCCTTGTGTACAATATGTGACAGCCTTCCCATCCCCCATGCTCCCAGGCATGGACAGAGAGGACATGGTACGTGAGAGCTCAACAAAGATGCTAGACACACTTAAAGACACACAAGCTTCAGGAGAGAGAGAGTGGCCATCTCACCGCTGAGAACATGCAAGTGCCCTTCA